TCAAGATTATAGAGATTTGTTGTCTTGTACCCATATCATCTGGAACGTGGTAACACGGGGACTAGATAGGAGAAAAAATACATAGAGAATCTCCTTTCTCTCTCTCTCACTTTCTCTCTCCTTCTCTCTCTCACACATATATGCTTCCATCCTTCAGATTAAAAATAATACATCATTTCCATGTATTGACCTGAAATAGTCATATAGCTCTGCCCAGTTGCAAGGAGTGGGTGGCTAGGAAACACACAGAATCATGTGGAATGGGGAGGGGGGGGAGGGGTATAGAAATAGACAAATGGAGGAGTGAGAACAACTAGAGAACAGAAACATTAAATCACATATATTTGAAAATGTATTCCATAACAAGGATAATGGCTTAATTCACTAGGAAAATAAGGATTTTCAAAACTAGCTACTACATGAAAGAAAATAAGAGTAAATATTTTAATTTACTCTTAATAACATAATAAACTACAAGTGAATTAAAGATAAAAAGATAAACAAACAAAAAATTTATACAAAAAGTCAGAATTTGGGGAGATCTTTTTTAATTGCCAGAGGACGTGTGCACTCACCAGAGAGAGAGAGAGAAAGAGAGAGAGGAAGCATCTTTCAGTGAGGTGTGGTCATCCTGCAATACTTTCTCCCACATTTTTCCATCCTGTTGAGATTTTGAACGTGCATACACATGTGCCTGGAAGAATTTACAAACCCCCAGGCCAAGATTTGAACTGCAGTTGGCCATATTAGATTCAGTTGCCTTATCCACCAGGCCATGCAGTCAGCCCTGGGGATACTTTTTTTTTTTAAGAATTATTTATTTATTCATTCATTTATTTTAATTTGACCAGAGAGAGACAGACAGACACACACACACACACACACACACACACACACAGAGAGAGAGAGAGAGAGAGAGAGAGAGAGAAAGTGAAAAGGCAAACCACCAGGTCTAGGACTTGAACCATGGTCAGTCATGTGGGAGTGTCCAGCACCTTAACCACCACGCCACCAACTGGTCCTCAGGGATACTTTTTTAAACTAAGTCTGCAAAATACCACTACCCAAAAATGACATAATTATGGAAAATACATAAATTCAAGAGAAAAATAATAGCATTAGAAAAAAATTGAAATATTCATGACAAGCAAAGTGTTTATAAGTATAATACACAAAGAACACTTAGGAAAAAAGGCAAAACACAATACAACAGGAAAAGGGGCAAGATATGTGAATAGACAATTTATAGAAGGGAAAATAAAATAGCTAAAAAAAAAGAAAAGAAGCTCATATTCTCTAGTAGGACAATGCACGCTCTATAATAGCAATGTCATAACATTGATAGCCATCAGACTGGTGAAACTAAAAAGATTTTTAATATTTGTTCCTGGGGAAGATGTGGAGAAAGGGTCATCTATACAACACACATACATACATGCATATGAATATACATATAATTCACTGTCAGCAATTCCAACTGGAATTAAAATACCAGGCTGTGGCAGTGAGTAAAGAATACAGGGGTCGGGCAGCAGCACAGCCATATGCAACCAGAACTACATGAGAGGTAGCCTGGATTCCCATTTGGGGGCCTTTTCAAGCACACAGATCTGACTGGGGCTGGATCCTGGCATGAAGACTTTGTTAACTATCTATCTCTTTATCTCTTCTATTTCTGTCTGTCTCCCTCTCTTGTAGAAGAAACAAATGAATAAACTTAAAAACATATTTGTTGTGGTGTTGTCTTTAGTAACAGCAATTGGAATCTAAGTGGATTTTCATGAACAGGGAAATGAATGGATAAATAATGGTGCATTCATATGGTAAGAACAATATTTAGCCACTGAAGAGAATGAGTTAAATCTAGGTCGACTCTGAAGCATTAGGACAAAGTTTGGAGTGAGAAAAACAAAATTCAGACAACAATGAAAGTCCTGTATTTACACTGTATAAGTGTTATACATGTTTGTATTTCTGTCTACACGTAAAGAGCCTAAACAAATAAGGAAGGATTTATACTACATTGTCAGTAGGATTTACTTTCAGATAGGTGATCCTGTGTTGGGTGTGAAGGAGAAAGTTCAGTAGAAAGGGAACTCAAGAGAAAAAAATAAGGATAAAAAAATATGTGTGTATGTGTGTGTGTGTGTGTGTGAGTGTGTGTGTGTGTGTGTGTATGTATCTTCCTCTGGTGCAGAGGAAAGTCCAGTGGTGCCTTAAAGAAAGGAGCACCCCCAGGGACCAGCAGTTTGCCTAATGGCTATGTCGCTGGACTCCCATGTAGTCGGCTGTGGTTCGCATCCTGGACCCAACGGCTTAAAACTCACACCAGGCACATGTGCATGATTGCCCAAGATCCAGAGAAGAGAATGGAGGAGAAGGGATTGTGGCGTGACCATCCCCCCTGGGGGGTGATTTCTTGCTTTCTGTCTCTCTGTCTCTCTGTCTCTCTCTGTCTGGTGAGTGCACGTGCCCTATAGCGAAAACCTCTCCAAAAAAAAAGAAAAAAGAAAGAAAGAAAGGAGCACCCCCTTATGCAGAGTGGTGGCATAGGAGATCTTCTGTGGCAGGCCTTCTCCTAGAGCCTATAGCATACATAGGCCCTTATTTATGCATTTTTGCTAAGTTACGTCTGTTCAGGGAATAGAGTCACCACTTTATGGAAGAGGCATTGCTAGAGACCCCCATGCCAATTTCATCACTGCATCAGGGTGGAGGCGATGTGGAGGCGATGTAGAGCCATGCGAGGGCGGGTTAAGGAATTCTAGTGTGTTCTAAGTGAGCTGGCGGTCTTTGTGGGACGTGCAGCAGAGTGGCGTGTTTGATGTACGAAATCTGTGTGTGTATTGTTCTCCTCCCTTTCACCTTTCTCCCTTTCCAGTTGAATTCATTCTACAGGTCTCTCCATGCACACAGTTCTCCACCCTCTACCCCAAAGCCCCTAGTTGACTAGGTTGGGTGGTCTCCCTCGTCTCTCACTCAGGACCTGGAACCTTTGCTCATCACTTTATGCTCATCACTTTACGCTCGTTTTGCATAGTTAATCGATAATTAATTGTTTCTCCTTCACTAGGCTGTATGTGCTCACCCACTGTAACTCCAGCCCCAGCACAGTCCTTGTTCAAGGTACCAACTTCCTCTACCACTTTATTCTCTGTTCTTTCCCCTTCTCCCACCCAGCTAACGCCAGGTGAGCTCCAAGGTGGAGGAGGCTTTCCATGGAGGATCTCCCATGACGCAGCTCTACATAAAGGGGCGCCCCTTTCTTTAAGGCACCGCTGGACTTTCCTCTGTACTGGGTAGAAAGTACGGTTCCTGTAAACGCCGAAATCCCAGGCGCTGACAAGTGAATTAGCAGAGTCCCTGCTCTCTCAAAGGGATGCGATTTTAGCCCAGCAGAAGTCAGTACAATAAATTTCCCAGCTTTATTAATGCTCTTCCGGAGTGATACTTTGCGCGCTTGCCAAACTAGTGCGTAAACGCCGCTCCCGGGAGGGCGCGGGCGTGCGCGAAGCCCTGCCTGCGCGTGGGTTGGTGCTATTCATCGCCGCTAGTGTTCCACAGTTCCCAATCCACGCAGTCAAGGGCAAGGGGTGGGAGAGAGGGGTAGATGCCCCGCCCACGCACCCCAGCCCCGAG